TCGTGTCCCGCGAGGTGTGAGTCACGATGGGAGGTGAGAAGACGCCGGGAATTGTTTGCCAAAGTGCTAATTGTCTCCGCGCAGTAAATGGAACGAGTAACTTCTCTCTTATTAATAAACTTTATAATGAAGGAACCCTACCTGAAGAAGAGGGGGGGGGGGCAAAATTAACCAACCAACAAACAAGCTGTCACCAACTGGACATCCCCAGCGACCCGTGAGGGTGCCTATAAATGTGTCCGACACTCTTATAACCTGGGGGAACAATGAGGGGGCAGGTGAAAAATTCCAAACACTCAGCAACATCTTTTCCAGAGAGAGAGAAATCCGTCACATGTCCGGGGGAGGATCAGGAGATCACCAGACAAAGGGGCGAGGATGCCCCCCAATCACAGTGACATCAGAGGAGTGAGGATGTTCCCCAATCACAGTGACATCAGAGGAGTGAGGATGTTCCCCAATCACAGTGACATCAGAGGAGTGAGGATGCTCCCCAATCACAGTGACATCAGAAGAGTGAGGATGCTCCCCAATCACAGTGACATCAGATGAGTGAGGATGCTCCCCAATCACAGTGACATCAGAGGAGTGAGGATGGTCCCCAATCACAGTGCCATCAGAGGAGTGAGGATGGTCCCCAATCACAGTGCCATCAGAGGAGTGAGGATGGTCCCCAATCACAGTGCCATCAGAGGAGTGAGGATGGTCCCCAATCACAGTGCCATCAGAGGAGTGAGGATGGTCCCCAATCACAGTGCCATCAGAGGAGTGAGGATGGTCCCCAATCACAGTGCCATCAGAGGAGTGAGGATGGTCCCCAATCACAGTGCCATCAGAGGAGTGAGGATGGTCCCCAATCACAGTGCCATCAGAGGAGTGAGGATGGTCCCCAATCACAGTGCCATCAGAGGAGTGAGGATGGTCCCCAATCACAGTGCCATCAGAGGAGTGAGGATGGTCCCCAATCACAGTGCCATCAGAGGAGTGAGGATGGTCCCCAATCACAGTGCCATCAGAGGAGTGAGGATGGTCCCCAATCACAGTGCCATCAGAGGAGTGAGGATGGTCCCCAATCACAGTGCCATCAGAGGAGTGAGGATGGTCCCCAATCACAGTGCCATCAGAGGAGTGAGGATGGTCCCCAATCACAGTGCCATCAGAGGAGTGAGGATGGTCCCCAATCACAGTGCCATCAGAGGAGTGAGGATGGTCCCCAATCACAGTGCCATCAGAGGAGTGAGGATGGTCCCCAATCACAGTGCCATCAGAGGAGTGAGGATGGTCCCCAATCACAGTGCCATCAGAGGAGTGAGGATGGTCCCCAATCACAGTGCCATCAGAGGAGTGAGGATGGTCCCCAATCACAGTGCCATCAGAGGAGTGAGGATGGTCCCCAATCACAGTGCCATCAGAGGAGTGAGGATGGTCCCCAATCACAGTGCCATCAGAGGAGTGAGGATGGTCCCCAATCACAGTGCCATCAGAGGAGTGAGGATGGTCCCCAATCACAGTGCCATCAGAGGAGTGAGGATGGTCCCCAATCACAGTGCCATCAGAGGAGTGAGGATGGTCCCCAATCACAGTGCCATCAGAGGAGTGAGGATGGTCCCCAATCACAGTGCCATCAGAGGAGTGAGGATGGTCCCCAATCACAGTGCCATCAGAGGAGTGAGGATGGTCCCCAATCACAGTGCCATCAGAGGAGTGAGGATGGTCCCCAATCACAGTGCCATCAGAGGAGTGAGGATGGTCCCCAATCACAGTGCCATCAGAGGAGTGAGGATGGTCCCCAATCACAGTGCCATCAGAGGAGTGAGGATGGTCCCCAATCACAGTGCCATCAGAGGAGTGAGGATGGTCCCCAATCACAGTGCCATCAGAGGAGTGAGGATGGTCCCCAATCACAGTGCCATCAGAGGAGTGAGGATGGTCCCCAATCACAGTGCCATCAGAGGAGTGAGGATGGTCCCCAATCACAGTGCCATCAGAGGAGTGAGGATGGTCCCCAATCACAGTGCCATCAGAGGAGTGAGGATGGTCCCCAATCACAGTGCCATCAGAGGAGTGAGGATGGTCCCCAATCACAGTGCCATCAGAGGAGTGAGGATGGTCCCCAATCACAGTGCCATCAGAGGAGTGAGGATGGTCCCCAATCACAGTGCCATCAGAGGAGTGAGGATGGTCCCCAATCACAGTGCCATCAGAGGAGTGAGGATGGTCCCCAATCACAGTGCCATCAGAGGAGTGAGGATGGTCCCCAATCACAGTGCCATCAGAGGAGTGAGGATGGTCCCCAATCACAGTGCCATCAGAGGAGTGAGGATGGTCCCCAATCACAGTGCCATCAGAGGAGTGAGGATGGTCCCCAATCACAGTGCCATCAGAGGAGTGAGGATGGTCCCCAATCACAGTGACATCAGAGGAGTGAGGATGCTCCCCAATCACAGTGACATAGATACTTTCCCATAGAAGTAGACTGACTACTCCCTCTCTCTCCTCCGCTCAGCCTTGTGATTTCCTTTCCTTTCCTTTCTTTTGCTTTTCTTTTCAATTTCCTTTAATTACTTTTTTTTCTTTTTTACTTACCTTACTCTTCCTATTTTTTCCTTTTTCTTTCCTTTTCCCTTTATTTTGCTTTCCTTTTCATTTCCTTTACTTCCTTTTCCTATTTTTTTTCATTCCTTTATTTCCCTGTTCCTTTCTTTTAATTTTCACTTTCCTTTCCTTTCTCTTTCTATTTCCTCTCCTTTCTTTTCCATTCTCTTTTATATATTTTTTTCCTCACATCTCACAACACGTGATCTCTGTTTTGCTCTTTCTTGCTTCTGTCTTGTGTTCTGTATTTTTGTCTGTTTCCTTTTCCTGCCCATAATGGAAATGAAAAGGAAATCAGCCCGATATGTACAATAATGGTGATACAAACCTGGCCGGGGCTCTACCTCTCTCCTCGCTCTCTCCAAAACGAAATCAAACATTTGGGCTGGATTTGAGCTGTGGGGTGTCAGGCAAAGGTCAGGGGTTAGGACAGGGCTGGGGTGGGATTGTAAGCCCTCGGGGGCGGGGCCCTCCTTACCATCTTGTCTTGCATTGTATTGTGATTGTAATGTCTTCCTTATATTGTACAGCGCTGCGCACACTGTTGGCGCTATATAAATCCTGTATAATAATAATAATAAATGGGAGGGGACTGGATGTTATTACAGGAATAATAGATTCATCTGCACTGGGATCACTCCGCCTCAATCTCCCATCACTATTGTATTCAGCCCAAAACTAGCAAACCGCCTTCAGAGAATGTGGGCGGGGCTTCAGGGGGTCCCGGGAGAGTGGGCGGGGCTGGGACCAGGGAACACACTGAATTTCACTGAGAGGAATTTAGGGCCTTTTCAGAAGGTCAGCATAGCAGCAGCTAAAGAGATTTAGTGAGCAGAGAAAATAGCTGCAGAAGGTGTAAGCCGGGATTAGGAAGAGAGACACTCAGCAGGCAGCGTGTGTTCTCTGAGCCAATGTATGAGTTACATTTCCAGCATGTAGAACAGCGCACTGCCGGGGGGCCCCTTCATACTGCGCGGGTGCTAACGCAACCTTATCATGCATTAGAAGCTGCAGCAAGTCAGATAGAGCTAGGGTTGCCACACACTCTGACATTTTTTTGGGAGAATGAGTCCTGCCTTATTCATATGTAAATATCATAGTCCAGACTATTTTCAGTGAGGGGGGGAGGGGGGCAGCAGCCCCTATCTTTATTTTGGTCGCCCCTGTCTGCCTGACATCTTGTGTCCAGGTTTCTGCTGCCATGAAACCCGGACGCAGCATTCAAAACCCGGACTGTCCGGGTGAATCCCGGGCAGGTGGCAACCCTAGATAGAGCCCGCCACATTTCATGGCTGGGGGATGTCCAGCACCATCTATTTCTTTCCACCTCAGCCTGACTGTCCCTGGCCCCGCCCCTTTTCATTCCTTGGATTTCAGTTTCAGCAAGAAATGCAGAATATACGCACCTCAAAGCTTCATCTTTTATTCATCACAACTGCACCGTTCGCATTCTCCACAGCAGGTTCTGGGTGTCACCCTGCAGATGGAGCCATGCGTCACCGCGACTCGGCCCTCACAGCCGAGCTAAAAGCTTAGCTAAGTGTTTTCTTTCTGTATAAATAGCAGACGAGAGAGAGAGTCACCGAGGCTCAACCTGCAGGGGCCACGCCGTCCATCCGGGCCCCACAAACTCAACATTAATCTCAATTTATTCTTCCCCGTCACACCCGCTGACCGCGGTCTATTCACGTCCGGATCAATATATATATTCCTAAGAAGAGAGTATTGCACGATGTGCTGCATCCCGTAACTTGTAATAACTGCACACGGACAGCAAAAAGCAGAACGGATCCAGAGCCAGACTTAAAGGGTCACTCCGCCTCAAACGTGGATTTCAGTGTTTGGTCAGACGCTGGAGAGTCAGACCCCCTGACAGCCCCCAACTTCACTGCACGGGGCCCGCGGGTGCTCGGTAGTTTGGGTCTGGCATGACAGGTCCTGGGTGGTGTGCAGTTTGTGGTGGAGGTCATGAGAAAGTGTCGGGGTGATGAAAGACAAAACCCGAAAATGTTCTAACCATAAAATCCGCCCTCCCCAAAAATGTCCTCTGAAGTCATAGAAGTTCTCTGTACTCAGACGCAGTCTATGCTGATGCATTCTGGGTACTGAGGCACCGCCGACTGTTATTTCTATATAAAGCATTTGCTGCAAGTCGCATTTTTATTACACAGTCATTGTTATTCCCGTATTGTCATCGCAATAAATTAGGTCATAGCACCAAAATGTGTTACATACAGACGTCTGCACTCTCAGTGATGTCACCGGTCTCTAGTGAATGGATAGGCTGCACTCTCAGTGATGTCACCGGACCTTTATTAGGATGAACATAATAAGCTCATATACTCTCCCTGTCTGTCTGGAGTATTCTCTCTGTAATAATGTTCCTTCTCTCTCTCTCCCTCCAGACTGGTGTCCTCTATACAAGCGGTTTTGGCATCGACGGCCGGGTACATAGTGGCATCAAGCTGCAAAGATGTCATTGAGGACCAGTAAGTATGACAAGGCGGGTAGACCAAGAGGGG